GTGGGTAGGCGCCATTACAGCGGCCGCCATTTCTGCTGGTCCCCGACACCGCGGAGGTAAGTCTCGGGCTGCGGGGGTTATGTAACGCTGCCTTCCCACCCCCCCACCTCCAGCCGCCTAGGCAGTGAACTGGGCTTCCGAGCGCTCTCCAGGGACAGGTTGGTTGGTTGTGCTCGAGAAGAGGGTGGTGCGGCTTGCGGAAGGGAGCGGGGGAGACGCACCGGCACCTCCTAGCCCTCTACTCATGTCTGTGTCATCTTTATCCTGTCGATTTTTCTTTTTTAAAAAAATGACGTTAGTCAGTTTAATCCTGCAAACTCGATTTTCACATCGGATTTCTAATGTATTTTACAAGTGTTCTCATGTAAGAAAAATAGGTCTTGAAAGAGGTACCTGTTTCACAAAGTCAAAAAAGTTCAGCTACTTATGAGATTTTTCATGCATGTATACAAAGGTTATATATAACTACAGTGTGGTATTTTTAATAATAATTTTTCTAGTGTGACTTGTGTGTAATTTCTTTTGTTCATCTGCTATACTGAATGGAAAGCATGATAAAATGCCTGATAGTAAGTTGATAGAGAGCTTATAAAACTAAGGTTGGTGATTATAATAAATTTAGAACTAAACGATAAGCAGACTGATACATAGTGTCTCTTAAAAAGGAAATTCGAGATATGTGTTATATAACATGCTGAATATAGGAACCACATAATTGTTCACTTTGAATATCTGAAAATAATCAGTAAATGTGATGGCTTGAAAACTGAGCAAGTCCAGAATCATTCAGACTGTAGATGTTTATCTGTCAGTTTGTAGACATTATTATTATTTCTCCTCTTAGTGATGTGTTTGTTTAGCCTTGTTTTCTTTTCTCATTTATAAATAAAAGCTTTGCAGCAAAAACTTGGGTCAAGCCCATGTTTTTAGTTGTAGCGAGAATGGGACCTGTAAGTGAACAGAGCCTGATCTGTGTTGTTTTCATAGGCTTCTGAAGCAGTAAGCTGTTGGTTTTGATCCCACTCGGAACACCTGAGTTTTGCTCTGCAAGCATATATAAAACCGGTAAGTTCTAAAAGCAAGCATTTTTATTTTGTTTTTCCCTTTAGTATAATGTACAGTTTGTTGGTTTTGCTTAGTTTTTCCCCCACCAAATAGATGTACTAGCTTCTTTTATTCTGCAACAGGTTTTATCTACATACCTAAGAATAAAAGGTAATGGAGACCGAACAACAGGAGGAGACCTTTACCAATACAGAGACAAATGGTAAATTTTTTTGCTATTTTATTTTCGGGGAAAAACCTTTTTAAGTCTCGGTGTTTCTAACTATTTTTTATTTGCTTTAGCTGTATCAAATGCTGCTTGTATTGGCAGTTTTAAAAAATTTATTATTTTATTTTTTAAGTGTCCCATATGGTTTGTATATCATGAATATGTAATTTTTCTTTGGGAGTATTTTAGATGTGACATAAGTAACTAAAAGTTATATAGCTAAATATTCAGTACTTGTCTGGACAGTGTGATCATGTAAAAATACTGTCAGGCATATCTGTTACTCTATTGCAATTGTTACTTTGAAGGAATGTGTATATATATGAAATATCTATTAGCCAAACAAAAAATTTTTTGGTCTTAATGAAGGAGAGCTAGGGTATTAGCATTGAGTTGATTCATGCCAGTTTTTTAAAGCCATTTGAAATACTGCTTTCCTATTGTTCTAGCAGTATTTTAGTATTGGACAAACTACTTTTGATCTTTTGGGCTTTAAGATTTTCCTAATTGTAAAATAAACGCTAGGTACATGATGCAGCATTGCTTTAAACAACATGTTGTGAATTTTTCACTAAGTTTGTAAAATTCTCATTTCAACTATAGTTTTATAGATTTGGAGTGAGTCTTCAGTAATGAATTAGAGTGTAGGCTGATGAAGTAAAAACCTGTTTCTGTGCTATAGATACTCAGGATAGATGTCAGAAGTTCATGTTGCGCTAATAGGAAGGAATGCTTCCTTAGCAATACAGTGCATAAATTTGATGATTTACAATTTTAATGTGACTTAGAGAGTTAATTTATTTTTGTGTTTTCCCCCCTATGGACCTGTCTACAGGCAAACGTCCTGCAGAAGATATGGAAGAAGAACAGGTGTTCAAAAGATCTCGGAATACAGATGAGATGGTTGAATTACGCATCTTGCTTCAAAGCAAAGTATGCTTTTTCACTATTGCTATGTCCCTGCTTTATAGCATTGCTTAAGATAGTGGTGATGTGGTGTATGTTTAGAAAGAACGTGTGCTTTACTTAATATAAAATAACTTATTAGAAATATTTTTAAGTGTGCATGAATGATAGTAGAAGTGCATTGCAATGGTATTATCTTCAGTAATTTTTTTCAAGGATGAGTAGTGATCTGTGGGATCTCTGATTTTAAAAAATGTACTCATTGAAAATATAAACCAATAGAAATTATAACTGCTTGTATTGGCAGTTTTAAAAAATTTATTATTTTATTTTTTAAGTGTCCCATATGGTTTGTATATCATGAATATGTAATTTTTCTTTGGGAGTATTTTAGATGTGACATAAGTAACTAAAAGTTATATAGCTAAATATTCAGTACTTGTCTGGACAGTGTGATCATGTAAAAATACTGTCAGGCATATCTGTTACTCTATTGCAATTGTTACTTTGAAGGAATGTGTATATATATGAAATATCTATTAGCCAAACAAAAAATTTTTTGGTCTTAATGAAGGAGAGCTAGGGTATTAGCATTGAGTTGATTCATGCCAGTTTTTTAAAGCCATTTGAAATACTGCTTTCCTATTGTTCTAGCAGTATTTTAGTATTGGACAAACTACTTTTGATCTTTTGGGCTTTAAGATTTTCCTAATTGTAAAATAAACGCTAGGTACATGATGCAGCATTGCTTTAAACAACATGTTGTGAATTTTTCACTAAGTTTGTAAAATTCTCATTTCAACTATAGTTTTATAGATTTGGAGTGAGTCTTCAGTAATGAATTAGAGTGTAGGCTGATGAAGTAAAAACCTGTTTCTGTGCTATAGATACTCAGGATAGATGTCAGAAGTTCATGTTGCGCTAATAGGAAGGAATGCTTCCTTAGCAATACAGTGCATAAATTTGATGATTTACAATTTTAATGTGACTTAGAGAGTTAATTTATTTTTGTGTTTTCCCCCCTATGGACCTGTCTACAGGCAAACGTCCTGCAGAAGATATGGAAGAAGAACAGGTGTTCAAAAGATCTCGGAATACAGATGAGATGGTTGAATTACGCATCTTGCTTCAAAGCAAAGTATGCTTTTTCACTATTGCTATGTCCCTGCTTTATAGCATTGCTTAAGATAGTGGTGATGTGGTGTATGTTTAGAAAGAACGTGTGCTTTACTTAATATAAAATAACTTATTAGAAATATTTTTAAGTGTGCATGAATGATAGTAGAAGTGCATTGCAATGGTATTATCTTCAGTAATTTTTTTCAAGGATGAGTAGTGATCTGTGGGATCTCTGATTTTAAAAAATGTACTCATTGAAAATATAAACCAATAGAAATTATAAGCCACTTATGTTTGAGTGGAACCTAGTTGTTTCTAGGGGAATTACTGTGTATTAGTCTTTAGAAAGCAAGCAGTTTAGAGAATGAATAGCTGATGATTGTAAATTAAATGTGAGAAGCAAGATGAGAACTTCCTCAGGATTTTAGTAATTTTCCCAGGTCTAGTAAATCTGTATGTATCAACAGGAGGAAATATGAGAGAAATGTTTCAGTGACTGCAATCACTTAATTGACTAGTATAAATTGTCACAATAAAATTGCTTTTTATGAATCTCTAATGTTTCCAGTCATTACAAATGTTTGTGTTATCTGAAGTAATTCAGTCTTTTGTGTCGGGACAGGGCAGTGGTACTTAACTCTACATGACATTTTTGATGAATAGTCATTACATGGAGTGCTGCAAAATTTTGTGGTGCTGTTAGCATCATGCATTATCTGCATAATAAAAGCAATCATTTTGCATGTAGTTCTTGAAATAGCCTGGTAAAAACATAGTTTTATGATTGCCCCTCTTGAATATCTTGAGTTTTTTCCTGTTGATTTTAGCAACTGAATATTAGTATTTGTTTATATTGACTTTACATTCTTCAGACTGCACCACCTAGTGGTCAGTTGAGTTACATAGGTTTAAACCAAAAGTAGCATTTGAAATTCTCAAATGTTCAGAGTGTGAAAGTGGAATTTGCAAACTTTAAAAAAAACAAACAAAACCACAAATCAAATACATAACATGCATAGTATATATAACATGCATAAGGTATATTTTCAGTCATACTCAAACTACACGGTTGTTTTAACACATGTAGAATTGCCTAGAAACTTAAATTTGAAATTGAAATAATATTGAGTATTTTTCTCTCTTTCTAAAGTTCAGTGGTAAGAGCTGTTTTAACCTTTTTTCCCCTGTAGTAAAACCATGTCAGTTTGTTTTGATTTAATTTGAACCTTTCAAAAGCAAAATGAGCTCAACCCCGCTCCTAAATGCATCCCTCAAGATAATGCAGAAATAGATACATTGTTCTTAGTCTTCAGTTCAAAACTGGAGTCTGTCTTGTATTAGCATGACATAACTTCTGAAAACTATTTTCCAGAATGCTGGAGCAGTGATTGGAAAAGGTGGCAAAAATATTAAGGCACTTCGTACAGATGTGAGTATATATGAGTTTGAATTAATATAACACCAATTCTTTCAGACCACTACATTGGAAACTTGATTGCATACATTTCTAGAAAATGAGAAATTTAAATCTACACAACAATAATCTCATTATAAGGCATTTATCATTATTATTATTAGAGGAGATAACTGAAGTTTTTCGGTTTGTGTTGTAATTAAAACCCAGCTTGAGTTATGTGGGAGGAGAGGTTTATATTAAACCTCTTTGCTTTCAGACAGGCCTCCTTTAAATTACACACTCCAAGCAAGTTAACACCTTTATTTAGAAATATTGACTAAGCTTAAAACCCATAACTGTACCATTTCCCATATGTGTGAATCAATTAATAGTACTACTGAAAACTATTGGAGTGGCTGGCTTAATCCAGCAATAGGGCAATTATTTAACTACTTTAGAAAAAACAAACAATCCATAGTGGTCTATCTGTTTTTACTTTAACAGCTTGGGCATAAAGAGCAAAACCATTCATGTTGAGGTTGTGTGATTTAAATACGGGTATAAAACAGTAAAGAAATACTTTATTCTGTTATAGGGGTTGACTTTTTTGATTAGATGCATGTTCAGTATAAATACTATGTATTTACAAAACAATGTTTCTTAAATTTCATCTGTTAACACTCCTGTACTTAGCATCAACTGCAATTTCAGCAATTTTTTCAAGCAAGATTGTGTTTGACACAATATTTGCTAATATATCATTACAGAATCAGTTTCACCTAAGTTCACAAACTATAGCAACTAGAATTCAGGATTAAGCTGAAATAGTCAGGAATCATACAGTCGCCAACTTTGGCAGCTAGTGTCTTTGTTTGTGTTAAGTAAATAATTATTTTACATCACCTAAGTCCAGATCATTTAATTGGTCTGGAATACTAACTTTCCCAACTTGCCCAAGGTTTCAGTAATATGGATCTTGACAGTTTTTGTGCCTACATTCATGAGCCAGCCTGCTACTGAAATATGTTAAAAGTAAGAAGTAGTTTAGTCAGAGGAAGTAATTCATTAAGGTCCACACTGTTAAGCCACAGTCAATGTAGCAATCCATTATTGTGTTAGTCTTCAGAACAACTTGTTTCATTAACTGAGAGTAATGAGCATAGTTTGTATTAAATTAAAATGTATTGCTTTTCCCCCTTTTCCCCTCTCCTTGTTTTTTGGCCATATATCTCCGTTACCCATGTACTGGATCGACTTGCCCCTGCGTTGCCCATCATGACGTTGGCCCATCCGCCCCTGAACGCCCATGTGAAAACCCTGGTTGGCTATGCCCAACAATGTGCTCTTTGCCAAATGGGTACCATACTTGACAACTTCTGATTGAATGCCCATGCCCAATGCCAACATCCACGAACGCCAATGACCAATGCAGTACAATGCAAGTGTTTCAGTCCCAGACAGCAGTGGCCCCGAGCGGTATGTCCCAACAGTTTATGCCTCACTGCCTGATTAGAAAGAGAGAAATGTATTTTATTACCTGCCTTTTATATAATTAAATAGCCCTTACAGGCCATATATTGTTTTTTAAAGTTTTCTGTCTTATTTTCCCCATTAAGTCTTTTTGTCACTGAACTTTTACGTGAGTTGCCCACCCAAACAATCCACTAATTTTATTTCAATGGAAGGAGCACAGCTTCAAGTGTTGCATATTCACTGCATCATAAATCAAATTGTTTCAAGAGTCTCTTGCTCTTTGTGGCCCACCTTGCTCCCCCCAACATTGTTCATAATTATTTCTGATTAAATACTGACTCTAGTTCACTTCTCATTTGTGTTACATTTTTGTTTGTGGGTTTTGGAGGGGAGGGATGTTTGCTTTTTTCTTGTATTTATATTTCTTTTTTGCAGAGCCCATTAGTAAGTAATCTAATTTCTAACTGGTCTCTCAACCTTACTACAGATATCATGTTGATCATTTGCATATCCCTGCTTTTTCTACAATAAGGTGTGCTAGTTTTATCAATGTAATGGCAAGGATATACTAAATTAGTGGTGGTGAGGAACATGAATATTCACTTCTTTCAGTTCTACATCGATTTCTTGCCCACTTAATCTGAGCCCTTCCAAAAGTGCTCTTGCTCAGTCTCTCTGCAAGACCTACCTAGTTTTAAATTCATCATACATTTATATTAGACATAAAGATGCATGTGTTGCAAATTCAATTAACAGATTTACTTTAAATGGAGAATATTAATTGTAAACTCTTCTGTGTAGTCAATCTTGTTAGAATTTTGTGTATTATTATGAATACTAAATGTGCTTCTACTACTTTTCCACCTTCTTATTTTCTAACACTATGACCTCTAACAGCATCTTGAGTATAAGCGCGGATACAGAGACAATTGGAGAAATCTTAAAGAAGATTATCCCTACTTTGGAAGAGGTATGTCTCTTAGGTTTGTTTCTTCTTCAGAGTTAAAAATTTAGATTTTTAAAGCAAGATAATTCTAGATTATTGTGTGCTATTTTTAATATGTTAAATTAAAAAATAAAACCCAGTCTTTTTTGAAAGGAGGCCTGTAGCTCTCAAACTGTGTGTTGTGTTTTTTTTTTTTTTTTTTTTTTTTTTTTTTTTTTTTGGTAAAGGACAGAGACAATCTCTTCCTAGAAAATTAATTTGGAAGAGTGTCCTCCCCTTCAAAACACTTGTTTTCTGACTTGTTTAGTCCCCAATTTGAAGTAGCTGTATTGTAATTTCCATCCTGCCTTGGCTTTGTAAGTAAGTGTATTGCACTGTTTGATATCTTACAATTCTATACAATAATAATAAAAGAAATAAGGAAAATTCATTTAACATCACCTCATGTTGAGGCAAAGTACTTAAATGGGTGTGATTCTATCATAGCAAATACAGTGTTATTGTTCAGCAGCAAATTAAGTCATATCATGGTGTTTGGAGAAAAAACAAAAAACAAAATTAGTGGTTTGATTTTTCAATTATTTTTTTCCCCTAATATTTTATTCTTTCCTTGTATGCATCTTACTTACAGTATCAACACTACAAAGGTAGCGACTTTGACTGTGAATTAAGACTTCTAATTCACCAAAGTCTAGCAGGAGGAATTATTGGTGTCAAGGGTGCTAAAATCAAAGAACTCAGAGAGGTACTGTCTCCTATTTTCTGATTCTGTTTTTATTCTATAAACAAATTCGTTTTTTGTGTCCATAAACAGTGAGTGTAAGCATCATCTGTGCAACAATTCCTTCAGAACATACTTCATATGTGATTTCTGTGTTCCAAGATCAATCCAAGTTACTTATTACAACTGTCTTGCAAAAAGACAGAAATAAAGTGGCTCTGTGATACAGCCTAGGACTGCTTATAAAGCCTTTAAGCATATTAGCAGTAGAATAATCTTTATAAATAAAGGATACTTTTAAAATTAAAATACCATTCATCACTCCTGGAGTGAACTGCTGAATAGACTATATTGGTGCTGTTGTGTGTGGAAAATGGTTTAGCATAGATGCATCTCCATAAACTAATGATCATAATTTAATAGATGTTTAAATATTGCTATAAAAAGGTAGTAGGGAATGCAGTTTTTGTTGGGTTTTTGGGTGGATTTGGGATATTTTGTTGTGGCTTTTGGTTTTTGAAGGGGTTGGTGGTTAGAGGGGAGGGGTTTTTTGTTTGTTTTGGGTGGTTTGGGATTATTTCTAAGTTTTGCTTACTTGAAGACTACTCTTTCCTTTATGAAGGACTGTTCCTTGTGAAGGAATGAGGTTTTGTTCTATAAAACTAGTGGTCTCTGAATCTAGAGTGTTTTCTATCCTTTGCTGGCATTATGTCAAAGGCAATTCCAGGTAATTTTATGCGTAAGCTACTATTTGTGTGGACTGAGGAAGGCAAGACGACCAGACATAATCCCAGAATCACAGAATCCTAGGGGTTGGAAGGGACCTTGAAAGATCATCTAGTCCAACCCAGGGTCACCTAGAGTACATCACACAGGCAACATCCTGGCAACATTGCTGTCTTGCATCCAAAGCATGTTTTTATGACATGAAGATTTATATAACCTGTAAGCTTAGACACATGATTCTTTTGTTAATATTTAAATTACTGTGTAGATGAGCCATAATTGAAAGATTTTTAAAATTCACCTTTTTTCCTCTTCACTAGCATTTGATACAAACTGATGTAATTTCAAGTCTTAAAAATATAATATCCTAAGGTGAAATTTGTTGTCATAACTCGGAAGCAAGAATTCACTTACTTAAAATGACTGGAAGTTTAATGGTCTGGATTGATTATTTCTTTAAAAATGTTTTTGTGTGTGTTGCCCATTTTGTTTTCAATAAATGTATAAAAACTTAAAATGTTTCAAGATTTGGGTTTTTGTTTTGTTTGTTGTTGTTTTTTCTCTTTTCAACAGAACACTCAGACCACCATTAAGCTCTTCCAAGAGTGTTGTCCTCATTCCACTGATAGAGTGGTGCTTATTGGTGGAAAACCTGATAGAGTTGTAGAATGTATCAAGATTATTTTGGATCTTATATCTGAGGTAATGTATCTTAAATGGTGTATTGTAACGTGTATTAAACTTGTTATTCTTTCATTGGTATACATGAAGGTCAAGATGATTTGGATGGAATATCACCTTTCCATTTCTATTTTGAATTCAGTGCTTCTTAGTTCTCCAGTAACAAAATAAGTGTTGGACTGTTAGCACCCTTTAAAATTATTCCTGTTTTCTAGAATTGTGGTGTACCTTATGGGAGAGGGAATCAATTCTTGGTACCAATGGATTATTAATCATGCTTTACATATCAGTAAAATAAGAAATTTTAAATTGGGGAGGAAGTAAGACAAATGTACTTGCCACCCATCAGTAACAGCAGTTTCTCTATCATCATATTTAAGTTCTCAGGAAGCATATCATCATCCCTGCCTTTCTTATGAGCATTGTGAGATCAAGAACATATTCATAATGTATAAATTCATATTTATACATTTAATATGGCAGTTTAATGACATGTGATGGTTGTAACAGTTGGTGCTAACCAGGGATGTGTGGTGGTGGTGTTACTGTTTTTGTGTGTGTGTGTCTTAGTCTCCAATTAAAGGACGGGCCCAGCCTTATGATCCCAATTTCTATGATGAAACATATGACTATGGTGGCTTCACAATGATGTTTGATGATAGACGAGGACGTCCAGTAGGCTTTCCAATGCGTGGAAGAGGAGGCTTTGATCGAATGCCTCCTGGTCGTGGTGGACGACCTATGCCTCCATCAAGAAGAGATTACGATGATATGAGCCCTCGCAGAGGACCTCCACCACCTCCACCAGGTCGTGGTGGCAGAGGTGGCAGCAGAGCTCGTAATCTTCCTCTTCCTCCTCCACCACCTCCTCGTGGCGGGTAAGCAGTTGCATAAATGCATTGTACAAAGCTCAAATTGAGTAAAATTTGCTGAATTGTGCACATTTCCAGAACTTGTTTCATGTTCCATATTGGTCGTGGTTTTGCAGGAGTGTGCATTAAATCAGAGAATATTGAAAAGTATATTAATTTCATTATTTCTACAATGTAGCGGTCAACCAGGACTATAGTCAGTAGTTCTGTAACTTTATTTCATTCAGAACTTGGATAAAGCATTCAGAAATTCTTAGTTGTGTGCAAATAACAAAAAAATGTGCTGCTGCTTTTTCTCATTTTAGAGATCTTATGTCTTATGACCGAAGGGGTAGACCTGGAGACCGTTATGATGGAATGGTAGGAGTTAAAATTCATATTGTTTTGTTTAGTAAATACAACTAGTACTTTGAATATCTGAGGAAACTGTTCTTGAATACATACATTTAAGTGTGGGGCATGTGTGCTTCTGATAAACTTTGATATCACCAAAACATTTTGGATATACAAATGGTCCCCCCCCATAAGACTGTTTAGGATGTTATCTGCTGTGTGGTTTTGGTTTGTGGGGTTTTTTTCCATTTGGTTGGTGGTTTTCCATACCTGACATCAATACTGGAATAGAAAGTTGGTAGAGCATAGTCCCTGCAGGTTTTATTATGCAGACCTTCTTTTAGACTTTTCCTCTTTAATCAGAATGACAGAATTAGGAATTGGGCGGCTTTTCAGATCAAGAAACATGTCAGAACAATATTTTCCAAGAGATGTTAGCAGAATTTAAGAGAACATGACTAATATCTATAAAGAGCTCTAGATGGTCTGGCAGTTGATTGTTTTTTTCAAATAAATGTCTTTATGCCAATTTCTATGTCTGCAAAAAAATCTACTGTTATCCCAAATGTTTTGGAGCCAGGAATACTGATAAGTTGAATTTTAAATGAAATGAGGTACATTCAACCATGTTGGGGAGAATTAAAAAAGGCTTAAAGATACTCTTCCATGTTGTACGTTGAAATGTGACTTCCTGGTAGTCATTTATTGTTGTATCCTCTTTTCCGGGAAGAGAAATCGGGCATCTGGGAGGTAAATCTCTGTGGTAACAATTTTTTTGTTCTCCTCTGGTTCTGTTTGGCACATTCCTTAAGACAACAGGGTTAGATGAGGGGTTTATTTTTCTTTAAATGAATGGAAGAGAAAGTGTAGAGGAGCTACGAAATGGGCTACCTAAATAAGATTTACACATTGCCTCCTTCTTGGAGGAATTAGCAATTACTTCCAGTAATACATACTGGAAGTACATATTGCAAGAATCTCAACACTGGAGCATGAGAAGCCTAGCAGAAATATTGAAAGGAAAGACTTGTACTTAAAATTACAACAACACCCCCCACCCCCTCCCCCCCAAAAACAAAACCAAAACCAAACAAACTCACAAAAAAACCCCAACAACAAAATAACAAACAAACTACACCAAAACAAACAAACAAACAAACAAAACCACAAATCACCCCACCACCAAAACCACCAATTGTCTGTGCTACTCTGGACCTTAAGAATCACGAACTATACATCTTAGATCCCTTATTTGTATTCTTATGTTTTAAAAGCTCAGTTTTTGTGTTTTCATATTTGCAGATGGTAAAATCCAGTGCCAAGGCATATAAACAGGATAGCCCGCCCTTCCTTGGGTATATGGTTGAGTGCGATCTCCAGTTTAGGCAATACTGTGTTCTAGTTCTGTTCCATTCCATTTAGAATAGAAAATCTATTTGAGCTCTGTTTAGTTTGACTTTGATCAAAGTGACCTTGACTTTCTTGACATGGGTTTCTACAAATAAGTGGGAGTCATCTCTGCTCATTTTCCATTTCTGAAAAGCAATTTTATTTCCTCTTCACAGTGGAGCTGCTCATGGCTTTGGTTGCTTTATGCCCAAGTTTCATAGTCTGTCTACATCAAGGACTGCTTTCTGACACAGATTGTATTTAATTTCTAGTTTTAGTTAGCCATAATCCCAGTATCCTTAATTGTATAACCAGATGAGAAGTCTTTCTGTGGATTTTGAGGCTGAATCTGGAAATGTAATGCCAGAAATATAAGGTCTTCTTGAGCTACTATGCATCTCATATAGAAACCGTTCTCTAGCAAAACATTTCAATTAGAGTAAACCCAACATCATTGTGGTTTGTGAAGCAATACGTGGGAAAGGCTACTTCCAGAGAGCATGAATGTCATTTTACATAAATAAATTAAAAGGCAAGAATAGGTTCTCTCTTCAGACCAACATCTTGGAGATGATGAATCTACAGAAATGCAAATTCTCTGCCAGTTTTCTGCTAAAGTGGAAAAAATCAGTAGTTCAAGACTTGTAAGATGGTGAACCAGGATAATAAAACTTGAATTTTCTGAGATGTGACAATACTGACAGCCTTGTAAATTCTAAGATGGGAGGAAAACAATAATTTGGATTTATATATGTATGTATATAATTTCTGTTCTGAGGCATTGTTTCTCTTATTACAGAGATATACATTTTTAGACGGTAACTACTCCAAATCAAATGACTATGGACCATAATAACTCTTTTGATAACTGAAAAAACATGAACGTGTTAAACTGTTTCTTTAACACCCCCAGCTCCAAGGGTGCTTTAGATACACAATTGCACAAAAACATTTTTGGGGAAAAAATAAGGTGAAGTGCATATAAAGCCACTTAAACCCACACCCCTTTTTTTTTTTAATGGTCAATTCCTAATTCCTTCAAAGTATTTTTAAATTGGAGTTGAGAACTAAATCAGAATGTCTGTTCAAAAGTAGGGTGTATGTTCAGACGTCTAATCTGGTTTTGCTCATTAAAATGATTCCTGCTTCTTGATATTTCTTATAGATATGTATGTGTGTATATATGCATTTGTATAAGCACTTAAATGAAGGTACATGAACTAAAAATATTAAAAGTGCTTAATGTTTAGGAGTTTTGACATTAAGGAGCATATAAACAAATCAGTGAAGGAAAGATGTTTGACACATCTTAGTTATCTACATAAATACTAAAAGAAATTAACAAAATTTCACTCTTCTGGGCAAATTCCTTAAAAATAAGGGGAAGTTACCATAAGGAATTTGCCATCAGTTTGCATGCATGTTCTTTCATTGGATGTAAAAGTCAATACATTCTTATCAATACTATGCATTTTGTCTTATCCAGTCAGTGTTTCATTTGGTATCTATTTAATTTCTATTGGTTACCTGTAGTAGCACAAATGAGTCTGTAGAGAAGAAAATTTTGTTAAGTATGTTTAAGTTATCCTGCACCTAGTATTTTGGGAACTATTTTTTAAATGAGCATTTGTTTTAATGTGCTATTCATGTTTTGTTGCACATTTTAACCCAGCAAAGACCTTTGCCTTAGAAATTTCAAGTGGATTTTACAATTTATATATTTATTTATAACAGTTCATTATTTTTTCCCCAATGTTTGTTGTAGAATTCTGATGGGAAGAAATGCTATATATCACATGTAAAAACAAAAACAAACAAAAAACAACAAAAAACCCAAACAAGACCAAACCCGGAGTAATTGGATTTTCAATATAATTAGGCAGTAGTAGATTGTTAGTTTAGCTATTGGCTGTATGAGGTATATGTAAATGAATTTTAAAAGTATGAGAAGCATTGTTTTTCCTGCTTGACCTGCTGTTGACACAGATCTATCAATGACAGTTATTTTATTAAATCCCTTTTCTGGGGTTGTTTTATGCATGAGAGAAATAAAGGTTTTGGTATCTGAGAGTAACATCTTTTAGTATATGGTACAGTTTTAGTACTCAAAGGTGTTTAAACAAACAAACTTTTGGAGCTTTGCTGTCTGACATTCTTTGTAAGAGGAAAATCTGTTTACACCACAGAAACAAGGAAGAAAGAAGTGTGACCAGTTAGTTTCCTTTGCAGTGAAAGTAAAAAGGAGTGAATTATATAACTGGTCTATACTTTTGAGTCTTTGTAGTTAAGTAGTGCATAAAAAGTTTTCTATATTGGTATATGTACATTTGCTTGCCAAGTTACCTATAAGCCTCCATGACATGGACTTAATTTGGATTAATTTCCTCTTTTCCTATTATGTTGTGCATGGAAGATGATGCAGTGTCATGTGGATGCCTGTGATGATATGCAGCCACCAGAGTTGGTGAGTATGCTAATGCTTTTATTTGACTGGTTTAATAGTTGATTTTTGAGAAAAAAATTGAATTGGTTAAGTGATAACTGGAATTTATTGAGATTGAACATAGTCAGTGGCAGTTTGCACCTATTTAAAAATCCCTAAAGCTGTCATCCTAACTCAGGTTATTGGCAGTTTGTCCTGAACAATAAATCCTATATGTTAATGTTCCACAGCAACACAGCCAAAAGAGCAAAGCTTTCTGTTGTATTACCTCTTTTGTACCCTATTTTAGTCTTCTGAGTTGTAGCTTTCATTATAACTTTTGCTTTTTGACACCCTGTAGGAACATCTATTTAAGAATATGTTTTATGCTGACTTCATCATATTGCGTTTTCTTCAGTTTCAAACAAGGAATGTTAAAAATAATTCTTATAGTTGTGGATAAGCTATCATGCATTACCTATCCGTGTATTTGAAAATATTCAATTTCATTTATGTTTATTAAACTTCTTACTCTTAGGGGGTTTCAGAATGAAAGTTCAAAGGGTGTCAGCAAGTATTTATGCCATCTAGAAGATGGCAAAGTGCCACCAAATATTAAATGCTAGTTCCTAGTTTACATAAACACTGCAGTTATAATTACTCATCTTCTGTCAAATTCATTTGTTGTCTTGTAGTCTGGGGAATAGAAGCAGCAGAAAGGGTCAAGAAAAGGATTGTTCATTAAAACAATTTAATCCACAAAAGGGTTTCCCTATGTGGAATATCAGCAGAAATAGATGTGTGTTGAAATATGCAGCTCTGATCAGCCTCTGAATTAAGTTCAAAGCAGTGTCCTTCATTCTTTTGTATTTTGCAATCCACTACAAGCTCTATTATGTTGTATTATGATCTGTATTGCTAAGCTACGTGATTACACAACATAGGTTGCTTAGAAACAGATGATCAGCTAAACAATTTTTTTTTTCTGAATAGCTTCCATTTTGATGTGGCTCCAAAAAGCTAGCAGGCAAATAGTTTTTTGGAAAAAGTTGTTGCATTACAACTTCTGGAAACAAGTATCCACACAAATTCCTGTATTTCTGTAGTTCAGTGATGTAAGTGTGCACATCTATTCTCTGCTTCTACACGAAGATATTAAAATAGTTGTTTGTGCATTTAGAATGCATTATATCAAATTAAGCACTTGATATAAAGTACCAGTCTACAAATCCTGAAAATAAAAGCAGTCATGAGTACTGCATTGCAGCAGTTTGGATTTGGTATATGGTAGTTTTAGCAGAACAACAGTAATTAGCATCCTAATTGTCCGTTCTAAAATACATAGGATTATAGCATGGTCTGAATGGAGAGACCAATTATAAAGTTATTAGAGTTGACTTGGGTTTTCCTCAAGATATAGATGGAGTAGGAGGGTTGACAGTTTCAGGGTAAATGTCTTGTCCCAAACTAAGACTTCAGTTTGTTCTGAGCTGTATAGGTAGTAGCAATAAGGCTGAACTCTGATCTTTTGATTTGAATGTTAGTTTAGTCTGAGGGTCAGGAGTAGATCAGCATTAAGAACTGTTTACCAGCTCGATTGATAAGGTTGCTTGGTAAACTGGTATGGTTGGATTTTGATTACTTATTCTTAGAGGTTTTAACATAGCAAGCTAAGAGGTTCTCATGAGATATTGCCCCCCTCCCCCTTTGTTTCTGGTCAGCCTTTTTCCCCAGTTTGCCTTTAATGATGCTTAGATGAAGGTTGTGGGTTAGGATTTTTGCATAAAATAGAGTCAAAGTTAGCAGTATGATACTTGAGATGAAAACATGTTAATGAATCATGGCTATTTAAGCGTTTTCTTTCTCTTTTTCTTATAGTTTGAGGGTGGCTCTGGATATGGTAAGTTTTTTAGAGAATTTTGACATGCACTTCATTTAGTCAATAAGAGGCTTGATGCATACATTTAAATCAGACTATTCTTACACAGGGGGCCGCGGTTCATATGGAGATCTTGGTGGACCCATCATCACAACACAAGTAACAATTCCCAAAGATGTAAGTGAAGCTGACTTGCTTTCTACTTGTGTTAACTAAATAAATAAGAAAGCCACAGCCTTTTCTTAGACTATGTAAGTAAATCAAAAGTATTTGGGATGCTTGTCAAGTACTTTTAATATAAAGCAAGTGTTTTTAAATCACCAAAAGTTTATTCTTAAGGATGTTTTGCTTGTCTTTGCTCTAGAGATACACTGAACTACTTTTTTAATAGTTAATATTCGGTAATAAAAATGGTCTGCATAACTTTTTTTTTTTACAAACAAGCAAGCATCTGTTTTTTCTAACTTTATCCCACCTGTGTTTATTATATAAACATTACAGAAGATGTTTTGAGGCTATAAAAGAGTAAGCTTCCATTGCAATTTTTAAAACTAAATTGATGGAAGCTACATGAACTATGTTTTTGCAGAGAAAGTTGTATCAATAAATTAATGTGCTTTTTTTCCTCCCCTAGTTGGCAGGTTCTATTATTGGAAAGGGAGGCCAGAGAATCAAACAAATACGACATGAGTCAGGAGCTTCAATCAAAATTGATGAACCACTAGAAGGCTCAGAAGATCGAATAATAACTATTACAGGAACACAGGACCAGATACAAAATGCTCAGTATTTACTTCAGAACAGGCAAGTTGAAGCTTAATGCTGTCCTTAATGTCAATTTTAAACTGTTTTTCCTACTACATTCTAAAGCTGCTGTTTGCAGTATAGTTTTTAGAAGGCAGGATTGACTGTTGAACTAGTCCAGTGGTAGTTCTGCCTTGACTCTCTTCCCTATTTTAAGGAAAATGAAGATTCCCTCAAAACTAACCTTGATGGAAGACACCTTAATCAATCAGTCCTCTCATTTCTCTGGTGAAAATAGCTGCCAAAAACCTACTTATAAATTTCATAGAACCTGTAGAAAATATAGAAGATTTCAGTGGATGTTGGTCTAGTTCTGTGTGGAAGACTAGTGATTTTGTTGTTTTTAGATAAATCAACTGACAACAAATCACAGTCTTCCATATGGCACAGACCATGCCTCTACAGGACAAGTTGAAATCAATTGGTGCTGTTATGCAGCATTTCATACCTTGCTGGCATTACTTTCTCTTCTGCCAAATATTAACTGTTCCAGTTAGTTTGCTTAGTTGTGCTTTAATAACATGTTGGCTACCATAGCATTTGTTAATGTTTAACTTGAATGTTTTGCTTTAATTTACTAATATTTATATGTGCTTAAAATAATTATATGCCTATAATTATTGGCAATTACTATTTTAAAATTATTTACTTTTAAATGTATTGGGAATTTGTAGTTTAATCTTAAGGAATGCCATTGTAAATATTGATGCAAGATGTATGGTCAATCATTCTAATACATGGTATTTGGGATGCTTGTCAAGTACTTTTAATATAAAGCAAGTGTTTTTAAATCACCAAAAGTTTATTCTTAAGGATGTTTTGCTTGTCTTTGCTCTAGAGATACACTGAACTACTTTTTTAATAGTTAATATTCGGTAATAAAAATGGTCTGCATAACTTTTTTTTTTTACAAACAAGCAAGCATCTGTTTTTTCTAACTTTATCCCACCTGTGTTTATTATATAAACATTACAGAAGATGTTTTGAGGCTATAAAAGAGTAAGCTTCCATTGCAATTTTTAAAACTAAATTGATGGAAGCTACATGAACTATGTTTTTGCAGAGAAAGTTGTATCAATAAATTAATGTGCTTTTTTTCCTCCCCTAGTTGGCAGGTTCTATTATTGGAAAGGGAGGCCAGAGAATCAAACAAATACGACATGAGTCAGGAGCTTCAATCAAAATTGATGAACCACTAGAAGGCTCAGAAGATCGAATAATAACTATTACAGGAACACAGGACCAGATACAAAATGCTCAGTATTTACTTCAGAACAGGCAAGTTGAAGCTTAATGCTGTCCTTAATGTCAATTTTAAACTGTTTTTCCTACTACATTCTAAAGCTGCTGTTTGCAGTATAGTTTTTAGAAGGCAGGATTGACTGTTGAACTAGTCCAGTGGTAGTTCTGCCTTGACTCTCTTCCCTATTTTAAGGAAAATGAAGATTCCCTCAAAACTAACCTTGATGGAAGACACCTTAATCAATCAGTCCTCTCATTTCTCTGGTGAAAATAGCTGCCAAAAACCTACTTATAAATTTCATAGAACCTGTAGAAAATATAGAAGATTTCAGTGGATGTTGGTCTAGTTCTGTGTGGAAGACTAGTGATTTTGTTGTTTTTAGATAAATCAACTGACAACAAATCACAGTCTTCCATATGGCACAGACCATGCCTCTACAGGACAAGTTGAAATCAATTGGTGCTGTTATGCAGCATTTCATACCTTGCTGGCATTACTTTCTCTTCTGCCAAATATTAACTGTTCCAGTTAGTTTGCTTAGTTGTGCTTTAATAACATGTTGGCTACCATAGCATTTGTTAATGTTTAACTTGAATGTTTTGCTTTAATTTACTAATATTTATATGTGCTTAAAATAATTATATGCCTATAATTATTGGCAATTACTATTTTAAAATTATTTACTTTTAAATGTATTGGGAATTTGTAGTTTAATCTTAAGGAATGCCATTGTAAATATTGATGCAAGATGTATGGTCAATCATTCTAATACATGCTTTTTTTCTTTTTCTTTTATAGTGTGAAGCAGTATGCAGATGTTGAAGGATTCTAATGCAAGATTATTTTTTCTTTTTTATAGTGTGAAGCAGTATTCTGGAAAGTTTTTCTAAGACTAGTGAAGAACTGAAGGAGTCCTGCACCTTTTTTTCTTTTTTTTAATTTTTTTATTTTTTCAAATATCTGCTTCTGTTTAAAAAGCCAACATTCCGCAGCTTCATAGGTGTTCTGCATTTGAGGTGTAGTGGAATCTGCTGTTCACCAGATGTAATGTTTTATTTAGTTCATTACAAGTATTTGGGGGAGAGAGGCTGCACAAGAATAACTGAAATTTTGAAACAGCAGCAGAGAGTGGATTTTATTTTTGTTCATTGTTGGTGGTAAATTGTAATGTTTGGGGTTTTTTTTCTGTAACTCTTGTGAACACCCTGCTTCATGTACACTGTAACCTTTTTTGGTTTTGAAGAGGGGAGAAGACTGGTCATCCACATGTCCCTGACATCCTTTGAGAGCAGTGTGCAGAATGTAATGCTCTTTTTTTAAGATGTATTTTATGATTTTTAAAATAAATTTAGTGAACCTATTCTTGGTGGTAATTTTTTAAATATACATAAGGTAATACCTAAAATGGATACACCCTTTTTTCTCCCCATGAGAAAATGCGTAAATGAAAGTTGCTGTTAAGCTTGCTTTTCTGCTTCTTTGATATAGATGGAGTTGTGTTTTTGGCAAATTAAAGAAACTGTGAAAACAGTGGTTCAGCTTTGCTATTTCAGGGGAAAAAAGTACAAAAATATGAATGAAAATGTTTGAAATGTGACCTTTTTTGCAAGTTTTTGGCCCTCTTTGCAGTACATATATATATTGGTGACAGTATATAAATAAAATATTAAAAGTTTGGGTTGCCACTGAGTTAACAGTGGGTAAATACACCTGGTTCTAGACAACTTAAGCAAATAACAATGTTAAAAATAGCAGTTGATGTATCAATTAATGAATTAATTGTAGTTTTCAGAGCCTCATTTGTCAGGTAGAAACTTTTATGAATTGACGAATTGGCAGTATCTAACTTGATTTTCATTGTATACAGAACTTCAACTTGTTTTCCCTGTTATTTGTTGAATTCTATATTTGTGAGAAATTAAATAAGATACAGTACCTCTGGATATTTCATGTAATACCTTGGCATTTGTATTTATAGTTCACAATTGTTAATTTCACTTCCTAAATAAAAACAATTTTTAAATTGCAAAATAACTTTGTAAATTTAAATGTGATCCATATTACGTGGATTCTTTCACTTGGGGGGTTGTGTCTAGAACATTTTACTTTCATCATGTTTTTGAACCACATGGGATAATTCGTGTCATAATAAGAAGCTACACTTAAAATATAATGGGAAAGGACAAGGAGCTAAGTGGTTATAATCAATCCTTAGTAAACACCCCAAACCTGCTTTTGTCTAGGGTAACGAGTATGGCAGTTTTCCCAGTAAATAAACATACATTGAGAATTGGCATTTCCTTGGGAAAGGCTGAACATAAGGTTTATGGAGAAATCAACAACCAAAAAAAAGGAGATGCAGGACTTCTTGTTCCTATGCACCTACATTGTGTAGGTGCTGGTAGTTTGCAGTATTAGTTTTTTTTTAAATGTTTTAGGGGGAGGAAAGCTGCACAAGGGTCAATATACTAGAGTAATGTATTTTGGTTTTTCTTTTTAATGATCTGCATCTTTTAAGAAGCTAACCTAGTTTTACAAAGAAATTGAACACTGCTCTACCTTTTGTACTGTTTTCTTTAAGTTTTCCTTAAAACAATGTATAATTTGGGACAAGCCTAAGGGATTCCTGC